GCCACCACCGCTGCTGCTGCTGCTGCCGACTTCAGCGTCCCTCCCAGCCGCGGTGGGTTTGAAACCGAGATGCGTGCGATATCGACTCGCACTCGCGGTATCGCGATTGGTGAGAAACCCCAGACTGGCTTTAGTATCATCAACACCTTTATCGAGCCTCGCGGGGAACAGGGTAGATGTCAACAGCAGTGCTTCGCCACGCCCCACAGCGGCGGCGGCCGCCCGCCAGTCAATCTTTGCCGCCCCGACGGTCGTTGAGAAAAGAAGCAGCCACAGCCGCTCGTGCTGCGGCGACTCCGCGCTGGCACGCATGGAATTGGCGGAGGACACCGGCATGGATGCATAACTTCTCGAAAGATGCTGGAATTGGGTGGCGCTCTCCACCACAAAACGCTTCTGAAAGACTTGGGCGGTGTTGTCAAGGCGCAGCGCCATGCAGGCACTGTCGGCGCGGTAGAAGGCCACACAAATGACCACGCACCCGCCGCCGCCACCAGCAACAGCGTCGTAGGACCACGACGATGTGTCATTCCCGTCGCGTGTGTGGTTGGCGGTACGAAAGGCGCCGGCAATAGGGCCGCATTTTGCCTGCAGGAGCTGCAGCAGCGCACGACACTCCTCCACGGTGTGAAGGCCATACACGAAGACCGTGCGGTGAAGCAATTCGGCGAGGAATGCCGGCCGGTCATGCAGTGGAAGAAAATGAGGCGTCGACCGCGACGGCACCGCGGCGGTGGATGAAACCGACGGTGCGGCTGTGGTTGTCGTTGCTGTTGTTGTTGTTTCTGCTGCCGGTTTCATTGAATTAGTCAACCTCCGCTGCGTCCCCAACGTTGTTGGCGCGAACCGTAGGCCCTTCCCTCGTTCACGGATCTCCGACGAGAGCGAAAACAATCCCTCCATGTCCGGTGTCCCCTGTTGCTGTTGTGGTAGCCGCCGCCGCCGCTGCTGCTGCGGTGATGTCTGAGGCGTCGTCTGCGTCGAGCTGCGCCAGGCCGCCGCTTTCATTTCGAGAGGGGACCCCATCGCCGGCAAACTCCACCCTCCTGCCACAGCCGCGCCAGGGACCTCTCCTTCAAAGCAAAACCTCATGGATGTGAGAGGTCAAAAAAAAAAAAAGAAAGTGGACCACAGCAACAATGACACACAAACACACACAAAAGCACCCACACACGCATTGAGCAGAACTATAAAAAAAAACAGGCAAACAAAAACAATAATAATAATAATAATAAGGCTAGGACAATGGAAAGGGAAAAAAAAAAGAAACAAAGAAATCACCTATTCTTGTACACATTCATTTAGCCACAGCAGGTATTCTCCCCCCGCCCTCATACACATCCACTCACTCGCTCACTCTAAGTTACTCCTTTTGTTTGTTTTGTTTTGTTTTTTTTTTTTTTTTTCAAATCTGCCTTCCACACCCGCATTTTCGTACAATAAATGCATGCATGTATGTGCGTGCGTTTTTATGTAGGAAGATAAATAAATACACTTCTCCTCCCCACCCACCCCGCACCTGCTTTTCGTTCTGTTTATTCTTCTCACATGAGTGAAACCTCCTCCTCCTCCTCCAATCCCCACCGCGTGCGTCCGTCGTTTCCGCACTCCGCTAGGGCCCTTCCGTGAAGGGGAAAGATAAGAAAAAAAAAATTGATAATAAATGCACACATGCACTAAGAAAAAAAAAGGAGGAGAGGGACGGAAGGGAATAGCCGTGGCTGCGGTCCCCGCTAAAAAAAGGAAGGGCTGAGTGGGGTCTGATACGGCGAGTAATGTGCGCCTAGCACATCCGCCGACCGCAGGGAAATGGCACTCGTCGACCTCGTCCGAATTTTCGTGCGGGTGAAATTCGAGCTTTTTGTCAATTCCTCTACCTGTTGTGTCCGCTGCCGCTCTGCGGACATCGTGAGCCACTGCTGCACCGCCGTGTCGTCTTCCTCCCGCAGCATTGGGTGGGCGAGAAGCTCCTCCACGGAGGACCGCTTCTTTGGGTCCCGCCGCAGGCAACGCTGCAGGAACTCCCGCACGGTGGGTTCATCACAGTCAAATTCAAGTGTCTCGTCAAGGGACATGCGTCGGTAGTGATCGCACATCTCCGGCAGACCAAGAGACCTGTGGCCGAGCGGGACAGAGAGCGCATCTGCCGCAATACAGCCAAACGACCACACGTCGCAGGCCTTGCCGTATTTCTCCCCAAGCAACACCTCCGGCGCCATGTATGCGAATGTCCCCTTCACATTTGTCAACCCACCGCGCTTAAATACGGCCGTCCCAAAGTCACTCACTTTGGCGCGGCCCAAACGGAAGAGGACATTCTCCGGCTTGAGGTCACGGTGCACAATGTGCTTGCCATGAAGATACGCCACGGCACTGATGACATCACGCAGAACACGTTTGATTTCATCCGCGTGTTGCAGGCCGCCACTCGCAATGAGTTCACTTAATGACCCACCGGAGCATAACTCCATAAATATCGAGACACAGTTGTCATCCCTCTCGCAGAAGAGGTACTGCACAATGTTTGGGTGACTCAGTGAGCTCATGATTCCCACCTCCCTTGCAATCTCCTTCAGTTGACTATCCGCCTCATCTGCCTCCGCCTCGCGATCTCCACGCAAATAAATACGTTTCACGGCACAATGCGCGCCTGTCAGTTCCATCTCAACCTCAAACACGTTGCTGTATGCACCACATCCCAGGCGTCTGCCCAGTGTATACGGTGGCACTTTAAACTTCTTGGACGAGCGAAAGATACTCACATTATTCATCTCCTCGTCGACACCAATGCCAGAGAGCAGAAGATTCTCCACATCCCGTGTTGTGAGCGGAAGCTCAAGACGAAATGCGTAGGGCACCTCCTGTGCCATTGTACCGAGGGCAGATGCAAAGAAAAAGACGGAGCGCCGTTCCTGCCGCAACCATGAGAGTGCAATTTGAAGCTGCCCCGCATCTAAATCCGGTGCATGCAACAGAAACACCTTGAACCTCTCTGAACCACGATGGAAGGCTGCATCCAAAGCCTCAAGGCTCGTGCGCTGAAGAATAAGAAAATTGCGGTTCCACAGTTTACTAAAGATATTTTCCGTAACGGCATGGCCGCGGCAGTACACAAGAGCCGTGATGGCAATTGCATCGAGACCGCTGTTCACAAGATTATCCCGCGTCATCCGCGTGGGAACGGGCACGATGGAACGAGATTTTGGCGAAACGCTCCCATTGGAACCACCACCACCACCAGAAGCAGAAGCAGAAGCAGAAGTAATGGAGTTGACAGGGAGCGAAACAAAACCGTAGGAGCCCCCAGAGGAAGACTCATGCGTCCCGCCTGGGAGCGCCGCAATCGCCACATCAGACGGCACTGGAGACTTTCCTGCATCTTCCACGTTTGGACGCGGAGTGTCCTGAGAGCCTACGCCAAGGCGTTTTTGCAGCAGCAGCTCCTTCATTTGCTCCTCTGCGAACTGCGTCTGCTCAAAGTTGACGCGACTCATGAGAAGTGAGTTGTAGCGATCTTCTTTCAGCATCGCCTCCTCCTGAGGGGAAGAGGGGACGTCGTAGAGGCGATCCTCAAACTGCGGATTCTCCCCATGCGGATCATGCCACTCATGAGGCTGCGGATGATGAATGCCTTCTCCCCATTCCCAGCATCCATCCCATGCTGATCCGTCGCCATGTGCCTCGTTTCTTACAACGCAATCCTCGTCTTTCTCCACGTTACCTCGAAATGACTGAACGGCTCGAATCTCGGGGCGGCTGGTGCCTACCGCAGTGGATATCATGAAAGGATGTCGATTCGAAGAGCCCTGACCGCCCCGTGAAGAGGCTGTGCCAAGGCTGCCTATGCCGTTGTGCCTACCGAACGCATCCTCATCCATCCCATTTCCCTTAATGCCTGGTCCTCCAAAATTCCATCCATTCTCATGAAACCGAGAGCCTTGGGCCCCAAAGCCCATAAAACTAATGTCCCTAGCGTTGGGATTGGTGTCGTCGTCACGGCTCCCATCGACATCACGCATCGCCGCAGCCACACGGCTCAGCAGTTGTGAAAAGTAAAAATCCCGAACCTCCTCCGCCACGGCATTGTGATCGACTAATAATAAACACACACCCGCGGAGAGCAACACAATGATGAGTGTCCATGCCACCAAAACGGCACGTGCGACGGTTTGATCACCTCCAAGGCAGGCAATTGACAAAAGAGACGCAAGTAAAATAAATACGGTAATAAAAATACCGATAACGACATGTCGACAATGCTCACGCGCGCCAATAAATTCCCAGACGCGATAGAGTACGGTCGGTCTGACTTTTCCGCACCGATCCGCCGATACGACCCTTAGCAGGCGAAAGGACGCACTCTCAAATTCTTGACTGTGGGGTCCGCCCTTTTTCCAGCCCTCCAGAACCTCTGCAACGGACTCTCGAAGGATGGCGTCAGACCAAACAGTGAGACGTGGCTGCAGGAGCACACCACTTACCTCTAAGAGCGTGTGCGAGAGTTGGGTGTAAACGTCTTGCAACGAGGCACTTAAAGTCACGGAGGATCGCCGCGCAACCAACGGTGTAGATGAGTCGTCAATTATTTCAGACAACTCCCTCTCCCTTTCCCGCTGCGTTCTATATTCCCCTGCCTCATGCAGTTTGATAAGGTTGAAGACCAGATAAAACAGGACTGGTATCTGCAGCCATTGCTGTCCAGCCTCGATGTCTTTGCCATCAGTTGCACCTCCTCTCACATGATCACCCTCCGCTTCACTCAAATCGTATGTGCTCTCCTCACGGAGACAAACCATCACGGGGGATTCATAAACGCCATCCGTATCGCCTACAGATGTACGCCTACGGGAGTCTCCACAAGCAAAGGAGTTCTCACGAAATCCTACTTCATTTCCATCGTGGGACCGGTTTACAGAGTCAGCGGTGGGACTCGTACTTCCCGACGAGCATTTATCTTCGTGTCGCTGCGGGTTGTCATTCTGTGGAGTGTACGATGGCGACAACGACATCCTGCGCTGAGGGGGCTGCCCCCCTTCCACATCCCGTTGATGAAAGGAGCCTAAAATGGTTCCCTGGGAACTATCCTCCGTGGCAAAAAGAACCTCCGGGGAGAAAACTCGCTTGAATCGCAACGGACTTTGCTGAACACCACGGCCGCTGCTTCTGGGCAATGTCGGACGTCTCGGCAGAGGTGCAGCGGAGGAAGAGAACGGTCGCGAATGGGCACTAGCTTCCGCCGCACTGGTGAGCCATGGACTCAACGGCGCGGCCGAGGGTGCGTAAATCGGGAGCGCCGTTAAACTATTCATGGAAATCGTCTCCTCATTCGTCTCACCGAAGAGATGTGTTTCTAGACCCAATGTTCCCTTCGCTTGCTCGGCGTCGTCCGTGGGGGTCGCGGAAGCGGTGTGCATGCAAGGCGGCACCGTCAACTCCGCTGCGATAAGAAGCGGCGGTGAATGCTTCAGATATTTTGTCCCCTCTTCACAGGGCCGCCCGCCTGTCGATGTCGTATGCTTCTTCGGCGAAATCCTCGCATCCTGCCTTGCCGTGGCCGCAACACCCGACACGGGTTCTTTCTGCCCCGACGACAATCCCGTCTCCATCCACGTGGGACTCGCAGCCGGCCGGTGGGAATCACCCTCGTGACCACGACGCGTTATTGTGTCTGTTGCCTTGCGCTGCGAGCGCGGCCCTTGCCCTAAAAATTCCTCTTGTTTCGATGTCCCATTTGACAGGATGCCAAGAGAATTCATCGGAATCTTAACATCACCGTAATTATTCGCGCTTGTACCGCTAGTAAGAATGTCGCCATTGCCGCTTCTGCTGAACCTGCTGCTATTGCTATCACCATCCACCTGTGGAGAGAATTGTGGCAGGGACTGCAGTGAGAATGAGTACGGCGACGCAACATTGACGGCATCACCGCCATCGCCGCAGCAGCCAACACCTTCCCTTTGAGGATGACTACTGACATACCCGTTGCTGCTAGAGTTTTTGCTGTCGTCCCCGTAGACATTGCTGCGGCAGAAGTGATCATCCACCGCCGACGTGGTGGTAAAGCCGTTTTCACCATTTCTCCTAACATTCACATGACGGTTCACATTCCCCTCGCCATCCCCACTCTGAATGTCTTTGTGTTCATCGCTGACAGCTGCAAAACCCAATTTGGGCGAAGACAACATCTCACTCAATAGCCCCGACACGGTACACTCCACCGGCGCTGTGGTCAATGCCTGCGCCTTTTTCACCAACATCATCGCCCCCGCCGCACGCTGTGGTAATGCCATGACATCACACCTCACAGCCGCAACAGTTGCGTTCCGTGAAGGCGCTTCCGCTCCCGGCCGCAACAGCGCCGACCCCTGGCCATCCTCGACGGATACGTCTCTGGCCTCCCTCACATCCTTTCGGGTACCAGTCACCATTTTGCCTTTCGCCTCCCGCGGATCCCGTTGTTTTGGGGAAACGAGGTCCTGTTGTTGATTTAGACAGGCAATAGCCGTGTCGCCCATGGGAACGCGTATATATTATATATATATACAATATAATATATATATATATATTACAAAAGCCTACGCAACGATTTGCAGACGTTTGGTTACGTGGTCGGCTGCCTACACCAAACCCAACGCCGATCCCGCGTACTATACTTCCAACGTACACAAATAATAACAGCCTTAACCGTGGTAGCAGTAATAGTAATATTGATAGCAAGTAGTAGTAGTAGTAATAGTACTAGTAACAATAGTGATAATACTAATAACAATAAAAGATATAAAATATTTACAGACACACACACACACACACACAGACACACAGACAAAGAGAGATAAAGAGAGAAAAATGTCTCTTGCTCTCTCTATCTCACGTCTACCTGCCTTTCAAACCTGTTGGCACCACACACCGAGGCAAATTATGTCTCAATGCCTCTATATATGTGTATGTGTGTATGTGTCAGCAGCCACGGTCCCAGTATTTTAGGCAG